TATGTGAAGTCTACTTGTATCACTGGTTGTTTGCTTGCTTGTTTTGGGTGATTGTCTGTTCTTCCTTTGCTCTTGACACATATTGGGCACCATGAGCGATATGGTAAATGTGTCAGCTCATGTTCTAGCCTCTCTTGTCTTGTTGGTTGTTGTGGCGCCTTCATTCCTTTGGCGCGTTGCGCTTGTTGAGATTCATCTTCATTGTCCGTGTCGTACTCGTACTTGTACGTCGCTTCTTCCTCAAAGTTTGTTGATCCTGTCCATTGTCTGTCAAGCTGTCCTGCTCCTGATTCCTGCCAATTGTCATGGATTGTGTATCCTCTTCCTTGTTCCGTCCTGTTCACGAATGTTGTCCGGGTAGGTTTGAGTCGTCCAATGTCTGGACCATCATCTGTCTGTTGTGGTACGTACATTGTTGTCCGTGCTTGTACGTGAACTCGTTTCCAATAGTGTCCTTCTCTGATCCAATAGTCTGTTGTTGGTGTCATTGTTGATGGATCAGGTACTGCCGTGGTTGTTGGTGCTGGCTTCTTTGTTGTGTGTCTGTATAGTGGCTCTCTGCTTGCCTGTTGTGTTGCCCCGTCTCTTTCCGGGATTCGTAGTGTTGTGGATTGATGTCGTGCCTGTATTGCTTGTGATGCTTTCTCTGTCTGCTCTGTTGTCTTCGCTGTTGTGGGCGCCGGTTGTGCTGGCGGCTTGTTCACTCTGAACATCCCTACCCTATCCTGAGGGGGGGCGTCGAAAATTGTAAGTTACATTTTCCTGCGCGCAGGGCCTCAAAAAATGTAATTACATTAACTTTGAGGTGGCCTCAAAAAAGGTAACTTACATTTTTGAGGCCTCATGGGTGATTTCCTGGGGAATGACATCAAAAATGTAAGTTACATTTTTGAGGCACAGAGGAGCGCTTACAATTTTAGACCCCCCCCATCCCCACACTAATTTCTGCTCACGACCACGTCCCGCATGGTCAAATGCGGCATTTCAAGGAAATGCCTGCCGAAACATGTCAGCCGTCAGCCATCAAGTTGAATGATGCTGCCCGCGGCCGGCTGCATCATTAGCATTTTTTGAACTGAAAAAACAAATATATAAACTATATATGTTGTTTTGTTACAATTCTTTTTGGCCGGGGGGTCTTCCATACACAACTCCATACACAACTCCTTCTGCAGCAACAAGCCACACAAAAACAAAGCAAATGAGGGAACAGCAGTGGGTCTGAGTCATCATCAACAAAGAAGAACAGGAAGCACACCCAAAGCAAACTGCCAAGAAACAGGAACATACATGTTCCCACTGAAGACCCCAAAGGAAGGCAACAAAGCGAAACCCAAACATAACAGACGATCACACTCCATACATAATAAGCAATAATGGAGAACAATAAAGGAGAGGCTGCCTGTTCTATTGGGCAGGAGAACAAGGATATTCAACGCCGTTTGATCCCCTGGTTTCTTGCCCCCTGCTTGCGGTTCGTGTGGTCGGACGTGTGTGCTTTTCAGTATGCTAAAATGTAAGTACCTCAGGGGGACACCCCAGTTCCTTGTAAATTCTGGGGAGTTGGGCATGTGGCCAAAATGTAAATTACAATTTGTGAGGTCAAACTTTCTCACAGAACCCATGTATTCCCTGTAAAATCTGAGGGTTTGGATGCGTGGACTAATTGTAAGTTACAATTTTTGACGTCTGCAAATCTCACCTTTCGCCTGTGTCCTGGTCCTGCATTTTTGGAGGCTATGTTTTCCTTGGTGTTGAGGCATCAGCAAACAGTTGCCAAATAATACTTTTAGTTAATTACTTATTTAGAAAATATTTCATTAAGTGACTCCCACCCGCAAATAATTTCTTAGTGATTGGCGTATCTTCGATCTGCCAACGCACCCTAGGGGGGGGAGTTAAAAAATGTAAGTTCAGGCCTCCCAGGTCCCAAGTTACATTTTCCAGACCCCCCCCCCTCCCCTCGATCTGACGACCCCCCCAGGGGGGGGGTTGGAAAAATGTAAGTAAGCACGTCCCAGGCAACAAGTTACAGTTTTTTTGCCCCCCCCCCTCCCCCCCCTTGACTAGTTTCGATGGTGCCTGGGGGGTGGTAACTTACATTTTTTGACCCCCTAGGGGGGTACCCTAAAATGTAACTTACTTTTTTGAGGTCCCCCCTCCCGGAAGTAGCTCAAGGGGGTAGGGATCTCTGAACCATGTTTCTCCTGTCCACGTGTCTCCTTGTATCACTCGCCGTTGTTCGTGTTTGCTCAAGTCATGGTATTGTTCAACAATGTCTTCGTTGTTCCCGTCTGTTCGTCGAATGATTGTTCGTCTGTAGTTGCTCAATGTCTCCAGTGGTACTGGGCAATTGTCGCCAGGAACAAAGAGAGCTTTCCTCTTGTTCCGGTTATACCGTACAAGGTATGGTTCATTGTTGTAGTTCCAGTAGTCGCTGTTGCCTCCAAGAACTTGTTGTGGTGCATGTCTTGTCAGTGTTGTTGGGGCAATCATTGCAATCATGCCCTTTTGTGTCTGTCTCAGCTGTAGTTGTTGATGTTGTCCCAGGTTCATGATTGTTGCTGGCAAGTAGTAGAGGTTGTGCTGCTGCACCAAGGGAACATTGAATCCCTTGTCATGGCGCATTGTTGGAGCGTCGTTGAACCTGATGTCAAAGCCTTGTTCTGCCAGTCTTGTCACTGACAGGATTGGGTCATGTATGTCACACACATAGAATGGTATGACAATTGGTTGTCCTTTTGATTGCATGTAGACCATCTTACTCCATAGCATTGTATTGTCTTGTTCGTCACTGTCCTGAGGTTTGGGCTCTGTGCTTGGTCAATCTTGTACACTGGATAGTTGTCTGCAAACCATAGTGGACAGACATGTGTGGCTGCTCCACTGCCGATCATGATGTGCATAGTGTCTGTTGTGCCGCTGCTTGTGGTATCTGTCTTGTAGTCATTGCCATTGCTGATCATGGCGATGACATGGATTGGTGTCATGTCATTGTTACCATTGGATGAGATTGGAGGAAGTGCCAATGGCTGTTGTCCTTGTTGTTGTCTCGTGTAGTCCTGACAGTACCATCCGTTGTCATAGTAGTCGTCGTACCATTGTGCAGTTGCATCCTCAATGTCAGGGCGTTCTCCTTGTCCAAAATTGTGAATTGCCACTCGGCAATCTTTGGCAAAATGTCCTGTTCTTCCACATCTGTAGCATGTATCTGTCGCTTGTTTTCCTTTGTTCTTTCCTTTGCCTTTGTTGTATCCTTTGCTGAATCCTTTGTTTCCTTTGTTGCCTCTTCCGAATGGATTGCCAAATCCAATCGGGTTGTTGTTGTAGTTGTTGAATCCTTTTCCTCCATACGTTCCTTTTCCTTTGTGGTTGACGTTGTAACTGTTGTAGCCGTAGCCGTTGTATCCTCCGTAGCCGCAGCCTTTGCCTTTGTTCTTTCCTTTTCCTTTCCCTTTGTAACTGTTGTACTTCCCTTTTTCTTTGTGGATTGCATCAATGTCCATAGGTGCTTGTCCTCCACCAAAGCTTGTCGCTACACTGGATGACTGTGATCGTAGTTGTTGTAGTTTGCTGAATGCTGCTGTTGATCTGTAGTACTCGATGATTGTTTGTTTGACTCGTGCATAGTTTGGGCTTTGTCCTGAAAGCAGTTGTAGGTGTTGTTGTAGTGGTCCACTTGTCTCGTTGAGCAATACGGCAATCTTCACTGAGTCTGGGAGTGCTTGTCCATTGTCTCGCTCGAATCGTTGTAGCTCAAATTCCCATGTGGAAAATGATTCTTCGAAGTTGTTCTTGTCAAATGTTGGTTTCAATAATCTTGTCAAGTGTCCTATGGATCTTGTCCCCAATGGGATGGAGAAGCGGATGCACAATTGTCGGTACATCTCGAAGCCAATTGTGTTTTGGTATTGTCTGCAGACTGTAGCTGCTGCTCCTGTTGTTGTGTTGATGAGTACGTACCTCAAATTTGTGCTGAGGCGACCATGTCGTTCACCATCTTCGATTGTTGATGCCGCTGCTCGTAATTGTACCTCTGTGAGTTCTGCTGTGCCTCGTTCTGCTGCTTGTAGTAGTTCTGTGTAATCATTGTCTTGCAATCCCATGTATGCTGTGAACTTGTACTTCCATTCCTCGAACGTGCCATAGTCTCCATTGAAGAAGGGTGGTTTGAGTTTGTATCTGTTCATGTTTGCTATGTTTGCTGTTGTCTCATCTTCTGGAACTGGAGGCAGTCCATCTCCAGCTTGAGCTGCTGCTTGTTGTGCTGCCATTGTTGCAGCTGTGCAAGCTACCTGTTGTAGGGTCAAGGCTTGCTCTCCGTTGTCTGTGTTTGTGTGTTTGTTCCTGTTGTTGTATTGGAGCTCACCTGGATTGTTGTTACCAGGATCCTTGCTCCGCTACCATGTAAAATTCAGCAGAGGTTGTTTGTCGTTTGTTTGTGCACGTCTCTGTATTGTTTTCCTCTGGCAACTGTCCTTAGGCTCAGCTAGGCTAGGCTCAAGGCCTTTGATCCAAGGCGCATTGTGTAGCACCATGCAATTGTACATGATCAGTACGATGGAGTAAATGAACTAGTGTAAAAGAACTTGTCTCTTGACAACTCACTCGCTCACTCACTCACTCACTCACTCACCACCATCACCACGATCTCCACCTTCATCACCATCTGGACCCCAATGCGTCTAGATTCTAGATCTCTAGACTTTCTGCTGCTACACCTCTAGACCTCACACACAGTGTTTGGGGTCTCTTGCCCGGATATTTGTTCCTATGTTTCCTGTAATGACTCAAACTTGAAATCCTTGTTTGTTTTAGGGTGGGACCGTCACCGTGATTTCTTATAGTTATATACTATACAGGTGGTGCCCCTACAGGAAAAAATACTTGCAGTACAAACGGTGATGTTCATGTGTTTCTGCTTGACAAAATCACCCCCCAAACCAAAGGTAGGCTGCTTCTGAAGGCAAGCGTTCAAAAACACCACTGCACCAAGTTGCTTGTCTGTTTGAACCAGCACCAATAGAAGTGTCAATCTTGGTCTCGCTGACAGCAAAGTCGTGCTTCCTCAGGAACGCACACAAAGTGCAACAAAACGTGAGGTTTACACACAGTAACCTCTTCGACTGAAAGTGGTATATGATACATGCCCAAACTTCTCAAGGAGTCAGAATGAAATCAGGAAAACAGTCCAAGCAGCACAATTGCTTAGAGGGAGTGCTGATTCGCGGCAATGATGTCCACTTGGTTATTTGAGCATGACCAGTTTTAGGCAAAGCATCACAGGCTGACAGCCGCCCGCGGAACCGCAGTAAAGGTTGTGCAGGTTGCAAAAGTTGGTGGACTTGTCCCCAATGGAGAATACCTGGCCATGTCTCTTCCATGGCGCTGACGATAGTGCACAAACATCACAAATACTTGAGGCCATGGGCTGGTGACGAAGGCTGGCAGGGCAAACAGGGAAAGGAGGACTCAAACCCAAATGGGGTCCCAGCTGCTTGCTAAAGCGAGTGCAAGTCCAGCTAGCTAGCTAGCTAGCTGATCTATTTCCATACCAGGATGTCCTGCTTGAGCGTGCACTACAATTTAAATGTCTCCGTTCAGATTTCAATTCTTCCCAATCTGCAAGCACCAAGGCGCCTGTGACTCCGAGCAACCCATGATCATACCTTGGCTCTAAATCACATGCAAAGGCATGCGTGTTGCCAGGTCTCAAGCAAAGCACGAAAGGCTTAATAGCTCCGTCGGCTCTCCACAGGTCTACAGTGACGGTTAGAACAGCAAAGTAAAACAAAGTGACGAACGAAAACAAAAGAACAAAAGCCCAAAAAGTGTTCTAAGTGTGAGCTATTTTGATGTATTGTTCTAAGTGTGGGGTTGTTATGGGGTCAACTTGACATGTTCTAAGTGCAAATTGGATTTGTTCTAAGTGTTCAGGTAGAAGATTTGTTAAAGTAATTGTGTTCTAAGATGTTCTAAGTATTTGTCCGTCACTATTAATTATATAAATATCATATGTTCTCATTGCTCATCCTCCCTTGTCTGAAAGCACAAAAGTGCACCCCCTACCAGCTTCCGCAGTATACTGTAATTACAATTGACCACCTGAAGCGACCTCCCATCCCAACAACAACAACCACCACAACCACAACAACAACCGAAGCATGCTTTCTCATTCCCATCTCCTTGTCAAGCCCTTGCTCCCACGAAGGCATCGCTGTTTTCTAGCCAAGCCTCACTTTCCATTAGTGTCAGAAAGGGTTATGGTCATTTTGTCCTTTCACGACGGAAGCCAACACCTCTAAGGTCTTGGCTTATCAAATGACAAAGCACAAACGTTCAGCGAAGAAATTGTTAGCTGCAAGTTTAAGAAACTGCGATACCTTTATTTCCACAGGTTTCAAGCAATCATGTTGCACATGGAGAGATGCCAAAAGTGCATGTCGCGGCATGGTATTCAACGACGGACAGTCCGTGTACTTCTTGTCTCCGGTCAAGCGCTTCAGTTGTAGCTGGAGTGCCGTAGCAGAGACAAGGCTGTAGGTTCCTAGCAAACGAGCGGCCTCATTCAGTGACAAGACCAGAAACCTTCACGATGATGTTGTAGGTTCCACTGGCACAACAACAACCGCAACCTCAACCAAACCTTTTATGATCTTAAGGCCTTCTTGCAAAAAGAAGGATCCACAAGCCCTCTCCTCCGTTGTGCGGGTCATGCCACTTGGACTGGACTCGTGCAAGAATTTCCTCGTGCACATCTTTACAAGATGATCCAGCGATGGCTACCACCTGCACAATCACCGCCACTTGTGCCGAATGCAAACGCAATCCACAAGGCCTTCCCTCACTCTGGCATTCGTCAGGGGTGGTCAGAACTTACAAAAAGGACCTTGTCGTTTTACACATGTGTTCGCCACAATCTAATGACTTATGATCATATACAGTGTACAGTATCATACTTACAGTGCTGGGGTTATCGGTTTTGAGGCGGACCGTGTCATTTTGCATACATATAGACATCTCGACTAGAGTGTCATATGCGTAGTTACATACCACGCACCAGTTGGCCAATTGGCAGTGTGAACCAAACGTCATTTGCACTGGCATGGATTCACAGGAAAGCATGGCTTTCGCCTGTGCAGAGGCATGTATCAAGGAATTCGAGCCCGGGCAGGTCATCCCATTCGCCCCCAACACCATCGCCAGCAAGGCCCACAGGATCTTCATGGCACGTGTCAAGTGCCGCACAGCTATGCTCAAGAAGGGATCGTTTCCAAACAAAAGCACCAAAGGCGTGACGTATGATGATAGGTGTAACCACATCATACCATTAAATATACGGAATGCGGGTGGCAAGTTTGAAGACCACTGGTGATCACATGCTAACAGTAGCAGTATCAAATTCGTGATAGTTTCTCCATTTCTTGAAGTGAGTCAGCCTCCTGTTTTCCGTGAGCCGGGCAAATGGAGGCATAGAATTCTGCCATGGAAGAAAGCGTCTCATGCGTTTCTTCTGTCTGATGCCCTATTTCTCCCACGACTCCAGGACCCCGAGCGGATGGCAACGTTCTCTCCTGGGCACAGGCCACCGCAAATGACGATGGCCGCACAGGACATCGCGTCCTAGACAGGAGCTGGAGAGTCCAATATGTGTTTCTTGTTGCTTCCTCTGTCACAGCTCCTAATTTTGCATAAGCAAAAAGACTCCCTTGAAATGAAACTCCTGAGGATTGAAGTGAAGCTTTCCCCTGGGTCCAGCACGCAACCTTAAAGCGGACTGCACCGCATGGCTGCAAACACTCACTTCTAGCCCCTGAAGGGAATGTGGTGCAGCTTTTCTTAACATCCGCCAGACACTGCCGTACATAGCACATAGAACATGCCTAGTTGATGGGCATTGTCCGCCTTTAATCCACAAGAATTGAAATCGGTCGTCTCTTTCCATTATCTTACAGTAATTATGCCTGAAGGATCCGGAAGGCCATGAATGATCAAACTAAGGCCCTGGACAGCTGGTAGCAGGGCCTGCCAGCACCTGGTGGCAGCCGGTGAACCGTACATGAACTGTCCAAGGGGTGGACGATATTTCAAGAGTTGTAACCCGCTAAGCTCTTCTCGCTCGCTCGTTGATGCCGCTTGAACCGTACCTCTCAAACACTAACCTGATACCTACATAAGCCGAAAGCCTGAGTCCACCCTGTCCGTTGTAGACACTGCCTCAACCTCGGCAAGTGAGTCTCCCGCCTTTCGAACTCCTTCTGAGCTGGCTTAAACTAGTACAATTGGTATACAATGGTGCATGTCAGGTACAAGGATATCCTCACGATCCTGCTGTAGGGCCTGACTTTGCAGCTCGTCTCGTTGGACCATAACAAGGCCCCGACCGCCCAGGCATCACCGTCCAAGAAGCCAGCCGAGGGCTTTAGCGGGGTCTCCATTTCAGCGGAGGGGTAATTATCACCTCAAATGCTCTGTCGCAGTCGAAGGCTCTGTCCACCACAGAGCGATGGCCTCCAATCCTAGGATTTGAGCTACTAATTTAGGGAACTTGCCTTATGTACCGGAATTCGAAAGGGTTCAACCATGTTCAACCTACATACTGGACCATGTGGGTATATAGATCTTCCACCTTCCATAGGTCCCTTCCTTGCCTCACATTGGATCAGGAACATGGGCTAACGTATTTGAACTCTGAACCCTGGAAAGGGGCAGCGTCCATTGCCCGTGCTCTGCGAAACCTGCTCCATCCGTTTCGACGCCCTAGGTTTTTGCGGCACGGTCCTTCTTGTTTCAGTGGAAACTCCCTGGGGATGGTAACTAGCACACCTGTGCCATTCACAAACACCTGAACACAGTGGCACGGATTCTTTCTTGCAACACTGGGCTCCCAGACTCAGGCGCATCACTTCAAGCTTCCGGATCTGTGCAGTTTGAAGAAAGTGTGCGACTTTGATGAATTCACGGGGCATCTCCGAAGAACATCTGAAGACTATGAAAAGTACGTCGACAAAATTGAGAAAAGGACATGGAAAACCGAAACCGAAAGGCAGATTCAAGGCTCAATTCAAGAGATTCGAGTCAAGTCCTCCGCAAAGCCCCTTCATCGTCATCATAATGATCGTCAAGCACATGCCATGCCACAATTGCTCAATTGCTCTGCAAAAACACATGAAACCATCAAAGATTTACTAAACCCACGACTATGCCGCGCCTGACTCTGGGTCTGCATTATATCAATGCATTGTAGCGGCCGTTCTTCCTTCACCTCCTTGACGTTGCTTGAAGTACCATATAATCTATATATACTCTCTACACACATATATAAATATAACTTAATACAATATGTTTTTTTGGAAGGCCGAGAAGAGGTACCAGGTAGCTAGGTAGCGGGAGGTAGCTAGGTAGCTGGAGGTGGCTAGTAGAAGCTAGGAAGTCGCCAGCAGCTTAAGTACTTGGTGGTTCCTTTTTGGGTAGGGAATTTGTAAGTATCTTGTAAGTGGTTGGCAACTTAGTTAGGAAGGGGTTAGAAGTTCTGTAACTAACCCAAGTTTTTATGTTCAAGATGTGGCACTTGCAAATTAGTTGTCAAAAGTTAGAGATTTCAAAGTTCACTATCTAGATGATAGAAAATTATGCAGAAATAACTTATAACTAACTTAGGGAACTTAACATTTTTGAGATATCAACTTTCCAATTTCTTAGTGTACACCAAAGCTGATTGAATTTTTGTTTTTTTCGCACTTTGGTTCTTAAACTTGAGACAATGCCCAATGGGCCGCCACCAGCTACACAGACGCACATGTATAATACACATGAAGCTGTCAGGGACCAAAGAGGCTTGAGGCGACATATACTCCCGCGAAATCTACCGGGTCTCAATCCAAGTGCCCATAAACATGGCACACTTTAAACGGTGACCTCCTGGGGAATCAAAAAAGCACCGGTCTCTGGAGAGTATGTGGTTTGGGTGTCAAAAAAACACACACACACACACACACACATAGAACGCACCCGTAGTATGCCCAACCAAGGATGGATAGTTCTTGCACCGCAGCAGCAAATGCTAACATGGATTCTGCCTGATGGCCAACATAGGGCTAGATGTCTGCTCTTCCAATGTTCCATATTAGACCCAACAGCCTCCAACATTGCCCAGGATTCCCCCGCTTTTCAATCCTATAACATGGCACATGTTCACTGCCCAGCCCAGCCATAGTCTAACATAGACCTCTAGCTGTAACATCTCCCGGCTTCAACGATTCATCTCAAGATGAACCTTTGCGCTCCTTTTTTTCCCTTCCCTGTACTGTAGTATGTGTTTGCGTCCCTCCCGGCTTTGGAAGCCCACGGTTGTCCGAGCACCGTCTTGATATGGTTCCATGTTAAGTCTGGGAAAGCTGCCAGACCAACAAAGTAGAATACCTTTGGGGAAAACATTTCAATTAGCAAGGAACAACCCCCGCTAAGACATCAACAAACGCGTCGACTGCAACCTGCGCACCTGTATACTGTACGACACACAAAAAAAGTAACACAGCTGTTAGCTGTTGGATATATCACCTGTATATTTAGTTACAGCTATGTACAAAAACATCTTTAGCTGACCATTGGTCCGCTGAACCGAACACAAAACAAACAAAACAGTGGCAGGTAAAGCTTTAGGCAACGCATACTTTCTCCGTTCCCCTTCGTTTCGTCCCTCAGTTTTGTCCATGAGGCATGTGTAAGTCACACGACCCCCTTGTCGGCAGCTGAGGACGCGTGAGCAGCATACACAGCAAACAAAAAACATTATTTCACTCAATCAGCAAAACTTAAATCCTGACTCCTGGATTTTTTCAAAAAAATCAGGGAGTCAGGAAATGTCCAAAATCAAAAGGTGGTGGGGTTGGCAACTCTGAGAAACGAATAGTATTTGATAAAGCTTTTCGCGTGACAAGCAAAATGCCTTGGTTTCAGAAATGTGGTTTATACATTTTAAGCATTTTTATACATGTATGAATCGATTCCGTGATGAATTTATACATGTATAAATTGATACGGGAGTGATTTATACATGTATAAATTTACAATTTGTTGATTTATACATGTATAAATTTTAGTCCGTGTTGATTTATACATTTTTATACATTTGCGTTTCCGTGATATGTGAAAACAATTGGCTAGTCAGATTTTATGTGTCTGAAGCTGTTGGTCAGACACCCGAATATATAGATATATCAGGTGGAGCTATGGTAGTTCTGTTTTGAACGGTCCAATTGCGACCAGCACCAGCTTGTCCTTGACCACGCGTGGGAAACTATATCTAGAAGCGAAGAAGGAGCTAGCGATCCAAAAGGAGGCTGACCCAAAGGGGAAGAAGGCGAAGACATTGAAGGGTAAAGCAGCTGTTGAAGAGCTTCGTGAAGCCAAGAGATACGCTGTCATGAAGGGACAGGATGGATCGCTACATCTGATTGACTGAATCATCATGTCAAGGTGGAGAACGGCAAGCCATGTCCCCAAAGTGACAAGAAAGGAAAGCTCTGGGCTGTGACCGTTCACATCCGATTTTTGAGTTCCTGCATGGAAGGATCTTTGAGCCCTGCTGAAGGAAAACCTTTCAGGCCTATCCGATGCTTTGGTCTCCAGAGCGGCGAGACAAGTGGGAAGAACACCTCCATTGTTTCAGGTAATGACCATTTGCTCACAGAGGGTTTGGAGCAAGAAACTCGTCCTTGTTAAGGTTGCTGTGATCGATTTCCATCAATTTATCTATGTCAGGGCTTAGGCTAGGGACCGTTCATACCAATCTCCCCGAACTAACCACACTCACATAGAACAAACGCATAGCGAAAAAAGGTGCAGGTCTAGAATTTGTTGTCCAGCAGAATCAGCTCTATGGTTTCCAAGGTGTGCAGTAGGGCGCAGACCTGGGTGGTGAGAATGTTGCAGCAGTGCAGCTAAGGAGATTGAGGAAGCAAATGCAAACGCAGGTTCCATTGACATGGATGGCAGTGGCAATGACGCCGTGTCAAATGATAAGAAGGACGATAATGAGAGTCGACCTGGTGATGAAGCTGGCCTTGCAGGAATGGGCCAACAAAAGCCTGCGCTGCACAGAGATTGAATTAACACGGGTGCTCTATGTTAAACCTTTGGATCAAAGGCTTTTGCAGGCCACAATTGCATGCCTACGGTAACATAACGGAAATGAACGCACACAAACACACACTGGAGGACAAGAACAGTGATCCCTTCGGCGGCTCATTGTGCCGCCAGAAGCTATATATATACATATATATAT